GTTGGCTAGTGTGCTGGGAGTGTAGTCAGTGGGAGTTGTCAGTGGAGCTGGAGAGCTAGACTGGACTGTGTGGGGGCCTTCTAGAAGGGACCCTGGATTGGGTTGCTGTTGGAGCTGGTGGACACCCTGGAGTGGGCTGCTGTTGGTGGCCAAGCTAGGAGCTGATGGGAGTGTAGCTGAGCCTTTGGTGGAGTGGTGGAGCTTGGTGGGCTCTGTGGGAGTCAGTGGGTTGGCTGGGGCCAGATGGCCACTGCGTGGCGGCAACATTGCTGTTGTTGCCATTGGAGATGAAGTCGTTGAGACTTGGAGGTGGCAGAGGCCTCGTGAGGAGGTCTGCGATCTGCTGTGGGTTGGGGTCGCGTGGGTGTTGCCATGACCAAGCTGGGAAACGGTCGCCAGCCGTGCCGGCAACAGGAGCGCCATGGTCTCGAGTTTCGAAATTTTGTTGTTGTTGATCGAAGACGGCGAAAGGCTGCTGCTGTTGTTGGTAGCTGTTTGCAGGAGCAGGAGCAACAGGAGTAGTCGCTGTTGCTGTTGCGATAGCCATCGACGCCTGCAGTCGGCCGTCGGCAGCAAGAGCGCCATGGTCGGCGTTGTTGATGCCGTTGTTGTTGTTTGCCGAAAAGGGATCGAAGTCAAAGGCATCGAACGGGTTGACCGGTGCTGGTCTGTAGCCGAGTGCATCGTCGTTGTGCTCGAATAGGAGGAGGTCTCCAGTGGTAGCGCTATCCGGAGTCGGGATCTTCATCGTGACAGATTTGGCGAGCGTGGACCTGCTGCCGATCGTTCGATCTCCGGTTCTAGCCAACCGGAGGAAGCGCCACTGGTAGCTAACGATACCCCTGTCGATGCTCTTGCAGTTGCTGTTGTTGTTGGTGAGGAATGATTGGTTTATCTAGAGTAGTTGGGCTCAATGACCTATTAAGCAAGAAGCGCCATTGTGTATCAGTTTTAAAGAGTGAGTCTATTTTGAATGGCGGTGAGCCACCCTAGCTATAAGCCTGCAGGCTGTCTATGTATCGATCCGAACGCTAACAACATGTCGAAGGATATTGTCATCAAACTAGTCTGTGCGGTTGTGGCGAAAGCTAAGGAGCTTTGTGATGGTGAGCGAAAGCGCATGGAGCGCATGACGAGCGAAAATGTGGAGGATGGCATTCACATCGAGTTGTCTCGCCCCTACAAAGCTATGCTCTATGTGGCATATTCGCTAATCACTTGGTCCCAAAAGGCATCGTTCACCGGAGATTTGACAAAAGACGGGGACAAGAAAACCACATTTTCTCACTTGTGTAATTGAAATCAGGGGCAGGAAGCTCGCATACTTGCAGCGGGTTGAAACGTCTTGAGTTTTGGCTACGAGATCCAACGTCGATGACTCGACTCTGTAGGTAAGGTGATAGCTGCTGATGACAGGAGATTTGATCTTCTTGAAGTAGACCGCAAAAAAGATATCTAGGGATTTACCAGTCGTGATATGTGTGCCGTTGGCTCCCATGGTCTGGTACCTGAATGGTCGGCTACGTATATTCTCAGCAGTAGTGTTGTGTTTGCTCTGCCATGACTTAGAAGATGACACATAGTAGCCGACATGCACAGCATCAAGTGACGATTCGATTCGTGATGGGGTGGACCAACATCGATTCGATTGACGCGCCTGCCGACTCCTCCTGCCAGATTTTGTTGTATCAGGCTTGGCGCCAATTGCATCTACTACGGATTCGGATTGAATTGACCGCAAGCCCTCCTCTCAAAAATTTGAGGGCTCTCTCAAAAATTCGACCAGCACTGTAGAACTCTGGTACAGTTTGTACAGAGTGACAAATCCGAACTGTTTGCAATGGGCTCGTTTTTTTGAGGTACCTTGCTCTTTAAGTAAAACCACCTCAAATTTTTGAGTCAGCCCTCAAATTCCTGAGCCACGTTGGGTTGAGAGGGGCTTGGATTCTGTCACTAACAAATAACACGGAGGAAAGTCGGCCCGCCTCACTCTGAGTTTTGAATGGCTATTTAAATATTTCAATGACATTTACTAGTCTCATCCCTAACAAAGAGGGGAGTATATCAGCGCTCCAGTACTGGTATCCTCCAATCTTTCATCATTATTTCGGAATAATGATACTCACTCGTCTACATGTACTAGTATCTTTACTCTCAATCTATCAAGATGATGCTTCCTCCTCTTCTTTACAGCGGCTACTCCTCTTTACAGCGGCTACTACTCACCACCATGACAGGCTCCTCTTCTTTGGCTAGTGGCAGCGGCAGCCGTTCGACGATCGGTCCATGAGATAGGAGCTTCCCTTCCGTTCTGCGACGGATCGATCGACTTCCAATGGCTTCGTTCCTCTTCCACGGAGCGACCATGACACGGAACGATCGATCGAAGCGACCATGACGCCTTCACCAATAATGCAACGACATGCAACAACAAGCGACTACTAGTACAACAAGCGACGCCTCGACCATGGCCCGATGAAGGGTAGTCGATTCGGTCTTCCACACGGCCACACGGCGACTCCAGCGAAATCTTCCGTTCTTCTTCCATTCGACGGATCGCTGCTTACTTCTTATCGCTTCAGTGGAATTCCGCTTCAGCATGGCAATGAGAGCCCCTCGATCCGTTTGTCCTTCGAGGTTTCAGCTGATTGCTGATATTTGCTGTCGCGCTAACAAAATGTCGTCCGTTTTGTATCCAGTTCAAGCAGAGACTCGGGGATATCTATGTGGATGCATGTGCAGAGTTGGATCCACTTTGGTGATGATGTTGCATTTGGCTCTGGTCGACTCCATTGCTATTGATGGGGGTGGAGCTACATTTTCAAATGGTTTGCCTCGATCCACTGCAGTGTTCACATCTAAACTTCACTCCACAAACTCGAAAGATGTCATGCTGCTTACTATAGAATTTTCAGGACTAACATTGCTACCGTGCTTTATCTAGATACGGACCGCGAACCCAATGCGAGCGAGCCCTCAAATTCCTGAGCCACCCATTTTAAAATTGAACTCGAATCCGTACTAGTAGTATTTTAAATTTAAAATACAAGACTCCGATACTCGTTGGGCGCGGGAGAGGGCCGGTGGGGGTTGGATTAAACTGATGTTAATTCTTTGAAAAATTGGAATAATCTTGGGACAAATACTATGGGAAAGTGGCGCTCCAGCATAAGGATTTTGAATCAAAGAAGAGCCACGGGCCACGGGATGGCAGCCAGCCAAGAAGCTCTTCGATGAAGATGAGGGCAGAAACGCCGTTGCTCAAGCCCTCGTACAAGCTTTGTAAAAGTTGGACGCGCAAGGAATGCTTCAAGCTGGATTTTGGGGAACTGCATGGGGATTAGGATGTGAAAATGCAGCTGCCTTGCCCGAGTGTGTTTTGGTTTCAATGCAGCTGTGCACTGGTCCCGCCAGAAGCTGCTTCCCTTTTGCTCTCCTGCAGACGACGAATCTTCCTCTTCGTCGATCGCGTTTCTGGTTTTCAGAAGCAACATTTCATTTCAGATTGCGCCATGTGGGTGTGGAGCGATGGTTGAAGAGTTGAAGAAGATGCCAAAAAGCTGGATTGAATGATTCAATTATTTTCATTCGGATCTGATCGATCGATCGATTGAAGTTCATCTTGTACCGCACCGGTACTACTCGTACCGGTACCGATACCGTACTGGTACCGTACGGTAGGGGAGGGTCTGATACGTACAAAGACGAGGATACGTACGATCAATCAGTGGGTCTCTTCTCACGGAGGATTGAAATCTGCGGGAGACAAATAGTCCTTGCACTGTCAAGAAACTCAGTGGATGTGGATATTCTGACTCCAGTGGCTAAAAACCCGTCTTCATCCTTGTACATGTACAGTGTGCAGCTTTGGGCTTCCTCCTGCCCATGACAAAAACAATGCTGAAAGCATTGCCAACTTGTGATTGATGTCAGTGAGTGTGCCAAGCATGTATTCCTCTGTGGATGGCCGAGGATTGGCACTTTGCGCCCGGTACAGCACCAGTACTGCTGGTACCAGCGAAGCTATGTGGATTCCTGACCCGTTCATTACTGCTTTGGTGCCATGGTGACGAAATCGTTACGTAACTTTTGATAGATTCTCTAAAGGTTATGAAGCTAGAAAAAAGGGTTTTGTTGTGTCGAAGTGGAGAGGCAGATGCTATTGGATCCTTTCGACTTTCCAAAGCAGCTCCCTGAATAATGTGATAGAATTGAATGTAAGCGGATGAACTAACTCTCCTGATGGAAGCGCCTTGAATTGGTCATCTTCCGTTGCTTTCCTCCAGTCGGAACCATCAGCCACAAACTCCATGTCGTTCCTTCTCGCCTCGCGAGGAAAGTCCTCCCAGCTTATCCACAAGGCCTTTCTTTGCTCTGGATCCAATTCACGGTGGGGTGGTATTTCATGTACCAACACTTTTGAATGGAACTTCACCTTCCTCGCCTTTTCCGACTTTATTTGTTCCTCCTTTGGAACAATTTGATGTGGAAGGAGCAGCGACTCATGTATTGGGTTGAATAGATCAAGTGGAGACAGAAGAAGGTCTTTCATTGGATTGTGCCCAGTCACGGGCAGGAGTTCTTCTTCGTTGTGATGACGATGAAGGGAGATCCTAGACGACCGTCGAAACGCATGGTGGTCGCGATTGGGTCTACCATTTTCTCTTCGACCGTGGCGGTGATGGTGTTGGTGGAGTGGGTGGACTTCGTAGTCCCCATTGGCTTGTAATAGGCATTCAAGAATCATGATGGTTTGATATTATGCTTGTGTTCTATTTTATGATAGGTAAGGGCGTCTACCGTTTGTCGATTGATTGGCTCGGGGTGTGGGTAGCTTCGGAGTTTCGAAAAGCAGTTGAAAAAGTGAGGGTTTCGGCTTTACAGCGTGTGATCCTGTTCGTTCCAAAACTGAGTGACAAATCATTCGTGCGATTCAAGAATTTATCTCAGGAATTACAAAGTCCCAGGAGGGATCAAAAAAGTTCGATCAACTCAGTGACACTTTTTGAAACTCGACCTCTGTTGTGCCTTGAGACTCCATGATTGTCCACATGCCTGCATGTGCTACAGCGTACAGCCTGTGCTCCAGTTGCACCGGCACATGGTGCCCAGGTGCTCTGCTGCATACTACCGGTAGCTACCTGTCCCACGCATTCTGCCTCATACATGTTCCGCACCGGTACCCAGCTTTTTTGCCGGGTGTCTTGGAAAGAGAACAAGACAATCAGAACCAACGCCCACAACTGCACTTCATTCCCAGCTTATAATTTGCTCCAGGCACTCTTTGCTGGATTCGTATGGGCATATAAACTCACGGGCCTCTTTTGTAGCTTCTGATCCGAGAAAAGCTGAGCGTCATGGTACAGTAGAATGATCCAAAAGGATGGGAATGAACCGTAACAGGCTGAGCAAATAAGTAGCTAGTAGATCTAGGCTAGAACCGGCAAATGAAGTAAACTGGTGTGCATTTGCACTTGTCCAACGGAAAGGAACATTTTGTGTTTCGCTGACAGGAAGCTTGGCGTTTCACGGAATGCTTTGATAACGTCCAGAATAGCAAAGGCTCTGCGAGTATCCCGGTTCTACCGGTATCTCCATCTGCTGGAAAAGAAGCAGCTTGCTTCATCCACTGGTAGAATCAACGTGAAGTCCACACTCGTGGAGAAAAGAAATCCAGAATCTTTGCACTTCTGATCTTAATTTCCATCTTTCTCAAGGTGGCTTTTGCGTTACTGGAGGGGATCGACCTCGAGAGTGGCTAGAGTCACGCTTTACTAGAGGATAGTCAACTATCAATCCAATGCTTTTGGATCTTTCTGCATTTGATAGATAGATCATACGGTACCGCTCCCCTACCCTTATCGTACAATGCATCAGCCTCAGGGAGAACTCAATCCAGAATGATTCTGATCGAACAAGCCATCCTATCATGGAAATCAAGGTTGATTTTTGGCTAACGGTACAACCAAGCTGGGATAAGCAACTCGATGTTTCTGGAGCTGCGAGTAAGTAAGTCAAGCCTGAACCAGGTCTACCTGTGGCTGTTCTAGCAGCCGTACCAGCACCGGCAGCAGGCGCCATCTCGTTCACCTTTTCTCATCTCGCGGTTGTCTTCCGGAAAGCGGATTGGGCAGCTCTGTTGGGTTTTATTGATTGGTTGAAGATTCGATTCGAGTCGATTCGAATTGAATGATGAATCGAATCATTCGATTTAATGGCGGATGATCAAACGAATCGAATCAAATCATGACATTCGAGTCGAGTCCAACAAGACTAAATTTAACCTCTTCCTTATTCAAAGTTTTGCCGGCACAGCATTGGGGGAACAGCCCTTTAAGGCTTCTGCTAGGCCGGCGATTTTGATCGTTGAGCCATGCGTGCATCGCATTTCCGTGGCCTGTGCTTCTTCTTTCTCTTCCGGTCTTATCTTTCACTGATCACCACAAGAGCCCAGCCACAGCCTTCTTCCCTTCCGTGTGTACATTACTAGCTAGCTAGTACTTATCATAGTTTTGTATTCCCCACCATGGCATCCATGCAGCGCCAAGCGATTATCTCTCGTAGTAGCAGCAGCAGCAACCGAGACGCTATGCAAATAGACAGCAACAGCAGCAATAACGACAACACGAAGAAACCGGCGCAAGAAACCGGCACAAACAAGGATTATTTCGAGCGTCGGTTCGCATTAGATTCGGTGGAGCGAGACGCCGCTCGAGTGTGGAACACCCTACCGGAGGCTTACCGCAGCGACAAAGATTTTGTACTGGCCGCTCTCAAGTCCGAGTCTCTCCCCTCCAAGGCAGACTTTGAACGGACGTTGCCGCAGTCGCTGCGGTTTGACCGAGATGTGGTCCTTGCTTTTTGCCAACGCGATGACTTTTCCCAGCTCTACTACACACGACACTTGTTTGTTCCGGACTGCCTCACGGGAGACAAGGAGGTCATGATGGCGTATTGTAGCAAGATCCCACGTGCCTTGCAGGAATGTTCGGAGGAACTCTGCAACGACAGGGATGTGGTGATGGCTGCCATTTCTCTTGGTGGATTGGAATTGCAGTACGCCTCTCGCCGACTACAAGAAGATAAGGATCTGGTGATTGCGGCTTGTCGAAAGGACGGAAGGGCTCTAGAGTTTTGTCCTCCAGGTCCCACAAGGACTGAGCTGACGTCTGATCGAGACTTTATGTTATCGGTGCTGGGAAAGCACGGTGGAGCCATGTTGCGTCTCGTCCCCGAACCCCTCAAACGGGACCGTTTGTTGCTTCTTGAGGCTCTAGCACATGGGATGCGCTTCCGCATGGTACCGGACATTTACAAAAACGACAAAGATTTTCTGCTAAAGGCACTGGAGAGAAGCAGCAAATTGTATCTGGAAATTGGTCCTCTGTTAAAGGACCCTGACTATGCCCTTGCGGCTGCAACGGCCCCGGATAGCACAGATGAAGTGCACCGTAAGGCTCTTCAGGCAGCTCCGCAGCTAAAGCAAAATCGAGAAGTTATCATGTCGATTGCTTTGCGTGGAGACAAGGAGCTGCTGGAGTCCCTTTTCAACGGAGGAGGCGCTCAACAATTCCTCGATGACAAACCCCTCATGTTGGCAGCTGTGAAACGGGATTGCCGCCTCTTCAAATACGCTAGAGCCAATCTTAAGGAAGACCCAGAGGTCATCTTGGCCAGCATTCAACAAGATTCAGCAATTGACACGCTACGCGATATTTCTCCAGAAGTACGTCGCCGATTCCCGGAAATTTCCGTCAAAGCAATTCAGGTGACCTGCGTTCGCCGCTTGAGGTACCTGGAATCTCTTATTCCTGAACCGTTATGGCAAAATCGAGACGTTGTTCTCGCCTGGATTCGAAAAGGCGGCAACGTTTTGGAGTCCTTTGAACGAATGCTGGACCGGGATCAGGAGATGGCATTGGAGGTTGCCAAGCACAACTGGGCAAACTTTAAGAAGGTCGGAGCGAACCTTCGAGGCGACAAAGATTTCATGGCACTGGCCGTGCAGCAGGACGGACGAGTCCTTCGATTTGCTTCTCGACAAGTTCAAACGAACTATCAGGTTGTAGTCCGCGCCGTCGCCAACCATCACCGCGCTCTATCGGGAGTTCTTGTCTCTGAATCTGATTTCAAGAACTGGGTGAAGAGTGCACTGGATTTGCACATGACCTTCGTCAAAGACTTTTTGCGTGGAATTGCAATCAACAAACCCCATCTTCCTCCGGCTCGACGAAGCCAGCTTCCCATGCTCGACCGTGGCGTGGAAACTAGTCAAGCCTTCAAGCAGTTAATTGCAGACTTCCTTGGAGTCCCCGTGAAGGACGACTTGCGGATTATGCGCCAAGCGTGGACGAACATGACGTATCCTCCGTGCTCGAGTAGTACAGACGCCAGTGACCGTGACGATGCTGCGGGCATGGACGATGACGTTGTCAACATTTTGGGTGCTAGACGACGGGAACGATGGGAACGACGAATGGAATTGCAACGCGCTGACCGTGACAATGCCGTTGCGGGCAGAATGGAACGAATGGGTGAGCGATTTGGTCGAGCTGCTGCCTTTCGTGATGCCCAGCGCCGTGCCGCTGCTCCTTTGTTTGGTCGGCAGGAACCAGATGATGTTATTGACCTCGACGGGGATGACGACGATGATGGCGACTTGATCGTTGATATTGCCGTCAACGCGGGAGGTCCTCGGGTTGCTGCAGCTCGACGTGTACGAAATCCTTTCCCGCCCCCTCCTGCTGCCCGAGTCAACCAGGGCCGTTTCGTCATGGGAAACAACGCAAATGGACGTGCCAACGGCGCCGCTGCCGATGGCAATGCAAACGGGCGCGCAGCTGCAGCGGCGAACCCTCCGCGTGAAATTCAATTTCGAGAGAATTTTTTCCAAATGTTGGAAGAATGGGATGATCTCTAGGCGGATCCTTGATTTGATTGCCTTGTCTCTTTCATTCTTCCTGCTTAACTATCTGATTCAATTCATATCAACCACCAAAATTGACACAATCGCGCGGTTACCCAGTCCAGTGGAAGCCCAAACCCAACTATTTTCGTACCGAATGGCAAACTGGCTTCATGTTGCATTACTAAAACCATACTGGACGATTCTATTAAATCTAAGCACAACTATTATTCATCCGTTCGCAGTCACAATAGTCATCCCGACTCTAGCTAGCTACCGGTAGCTAGTAGATCAACCGACCTGACCAACCCTTTGTGGTTGGCCCAGGATGTCAGGAACGGCGAATGTCGTAGTGCGGAACATTAGGCACCACCCTGCTATCCGCTCTGCAGGCTGACGAAAGTTTTACGATTGAAGATTCGAAGACCTTCATCGACTTTCGTCTTATTGGGCTGTAGCTTGTGCTCGAATACATGTAGTAATAAGGATCCCAAACGCAATGGGTTTTGACCGAAGCTCGAGCTTTAAAAAGGAAGTTGCTCTCTGATCGAATGAATCGAAAGTTAAGAGAAGATGGGACTCACACTTTGCAATGTTGCCTCCGACGAACGCCACTATGGCGACTTTATTTGCGTCATTTGCCAGCAGGTAGTTGACTTGGATGCATTGGTGACAACGCCTTGCTCCCACTGTTTTTGTAATCAGTGCCTTACTGAATGGGTCGACAGAACGAGTAACAACGTGGTCGATGATAGACTTCCTTATCCGTACGGCTCATCCTCGGCAGCGCCAAGGTGTCCGACGTGTTCCCACGACATTCTCTATTCACACAATGTACAAGCATCCAAGTACGCTGCCATGATGATTGGGAAGAATACCGTCACTGTGCAACCGTTGCAGACATGCCAGCCACTAGCCTACCGAGTCTTGAAAAAAATTAAAGTGAACTGTCCGCTGGGAAGCAGAGTAGGGTGTCAATGGTCTGGAGATTACGGAGACCTGAAGGATCATTTGCTCTCCAAGACAGCACATGATGATTGCGAAATTCCAGTGGGTTCTCTACCAACTACATCCCCAGCCAAGGAGAGTGCAAGCAAACAGTCTTCGACCAGTGCAATTATCGAGCAGGAGAGGCTGTTTTCATTGGCAATATCCTTCAAGGACGAAGGGAACGACCAATTCTCCGCAGGTCACATTGAGGAGGCGAGAGAATTATACAGCAGGGCCTTAACAATGCTTTCCAAGACTACTGATGACAAGCTGAAGGCCACTTGTTACTCCAACCGTGCAGCAGCATTGCTAACTCTGGAGAGGTACTCGGAATGTGTCCAAGATTGCACCAAAGCCATTCAACTGAATCCTTCCTACCTCAAGGCGTATGTTAGGAAAGCCAAAGCTCTAAAGCAACAAGGGAACCTCCATCAAGTTGCGGAAGTATGGGCTCAAGCAGCCGAGAAGTGTCCTGATGAAAGTGCTCAGAAATTGATCAGAACCGAACGTCCAAAGGCTGTGTATCTAAACCAGCTCATGAAGGATGGAAAGCAACTTCTGGGGCAAGGCTCCTTTGCTGGGGCCAAAGCGGCCTACGGGAGAGTGCTGCTGGAGACTTCAGCTCCAGATGCCCTGGTTGGTGCCGCCAAGGCTGACCTTGGTCTCGGTCTGACAGAATCCGCCATGAGGTTCAGCCATCAGATCATCCGAGGTTTGCCTGACCACATCGCCGAGGGTTATGAAATTCGTGGTGAATGCCTCTTCTTGATGGGTGACTTTGAAGGGGGGCAAAAGCTGTTAAGCGAAGCCTTGCGACAAGCACCTGACTTGAAGTCAACACAGATCTTGCGCAAACGATGCAACAAAGTAGTGGCGCTTGTCAAGGAGGCTCGAGATCTAGCTTTTCATCGCAAGTTTGAACAAGCTGTCGAGACCTACACAGATGCAATCAAAGAGTTTCTTATCTTGCCTCCCAAATCCACATTGTTTGGAATGTTGTACACGGAACGTGCCGAGTCCTACCTGCGTTTGAAGCAATACGATACAGCGTTGAAGGAAGCTTTGGTGGTGCTTCGTGTTCGTGAGGACTACAAGCCTGCATGGTTAGTGAGACTTCAGGCATTACATGGCTTAGGACGCCACGCTGATGCAAAGAGTGATGCTGATAACCTGGTGCAGAGGTGGGGAGATGATACAGAAATCCGACAAGCACAGACGAAAGCGGACTTCAAAGTTCGCAAGCAGCACCGGCTCGATCTCTACAGCTTTTTGGGTGTATCTCCGGTGGCTTCTGAACTCGAAATCAAGCAGGCCTACAATCGTGAGTCGAGTGAATGCCACCCCAACAAGTACGGAGACGACAGCGAAGCTTCCGAAGATGAGAAAAAGGCAGCAGCGAAGCGATACCGTCTCTTGGGAGACGCCCTGGAGATTTTGTGTGATGATTTCAAACGGCAACTCTATGATGCTGGGTATGACCAGCAAGCTATCCAAGAGCGAACGGAAAAGGCTCGTAGGGCGGCAAAGTCTCTGTAAGTTTAGTTACAAATGGTTTTCTCTGCCATAGTAGCGTCCTGATACAGTACGATATGATTAGTTTCAATGAACCCCTGGGGTAGCATGCACAGGTCCGGGGTAGCATGTACAGGTCTGGTACCGTTGGCTTAGGGCGGTAAAGTTCTGTCTTTGGAGCCGGGCAGGAATCCCGTAACGAGTCGATTCGATTCGCGTTCAACAAGTTTAGTTTGGATCGGAGGTTCTTCTTCTCTGCCTTGTGACAAAGCCTTTCCACTCCAACCCATCAGTCGATTGATTGAATTCGATTTGTGGCTCAAATCTTCCATAGGATACCAGACGAGTAATCCATGACAAAGCTTCTGAATATGAATATGTCCTTGGTGGAGTGTGTGATGGGGCATTGGGGTACCCAGGATCGGCAGAGTGGAGGCGCAGACAAACTGGAATCGGACGGAGACATGGGAGGACCCAGCGACATTTGCAGCAACAATGATGAAAACTTTGCACCACCGTCAAGGTGTCAATCCGCCATTCCCTCCCAGAGCATTCCAATATGCAACATGAAGCGCACCCCGTCTGAGATTCAGCTGAGGGAGGATGAGGCCTTGGCGGACTATAGAGACTGGGTCTTTTACTTGCGGTTGGTCAATGGCATGAGCGTGGATGCTCGGCGTACCATCAATGACAGCTTTCGGCGGTGCACTGATCAATGTCTTGCCAACATTATGCGGACTCGTAACCTTCCTGTCAAAGACGAATCATCCTATGCTATTAGTGGAGATGCGCACAACAAGAAAGAAGTCAGCAAAAGGCTTTTCTTGGGACCAGCAACAGTGCTTCCTGTATCCATAGAAGATGTGGATGTGGACAGAGAAGAGGGGATCTTCGTGATGGACATGTAGAGGCTCTCTTTTTATTGACTCAAAAATGGCATTGCTGTTGCTCTTCTACCTATGCTGTACAAAACTACTACAACTACCACAAGCTCCATCTCTGTGGGTGACCTGTGACCTGCTACCACTAAATGTTACTATAGCGCTGTGTGCAATGGATTCTTACTACTTGTCAATTTCCTATCTCTTTTCTATCAATATCTAGAGCTACTAGAGTCTGTGCCTTGGTGGTTGCCGCATTGAACATGGGACCGTGGAGGAGGCTCCTTTTCATTGGTTGGTCCTGCCTATGCACCAGTACCGGTACTGTACCAGTAGTCAGCCAATGGTCCACAAGCAAGCCAGTATTGGCACCTGCTTCTTGATCTAGTTATCGAAGGGAAAGAGAACCAGATCATGCATCTCTACTCCTCACTATCTGAGCACGCAGACGCTGACAGGCTATGGCAGCTCTATGGCTAGCACTCACAAACAAACAAGAAGCCAGACCTCACGTCTTGGCTGTTGCTTGCTGCTGCTTCTATTGGTAGCTACCGGTACCACCAGCCACCGCGCCAATGCTGTGAGCCATGGTTGGGCATATGGCTTCATGACCACCATGGCTGGATCTCCTTTTGAATGTATGCTGCCTGCAACGTCCAAAGATCAAGGAACCCCAACCTGGCAATGCGAAGATCTGTATCGTTGCATTTGATAAAGCCTGTAAAATCGCAAAAACATGTAGCCAACCAGCGGAGTATGGTTTGACAGCCAGCTTCTTCTTTTCCCCACCAGTTGATGTTCTGAGAGATAGATATGCCGGCAGAACCCAAATATAGAATGGTACTGATCAAATTTGGTTTGGGCATAATTGAAAGCTGTCAAACGCAGTGGAAGATTCAAGCCATAGCTACGATATGTACATGCAGCTAGCTAGCGAGCGGTATCTATCCTCCGGTATGCTAGCTAGGTAGCAAACGTAACGGTACCGGTAGCTGCTTGGACCCCCCAGTCAAGTCGAGTGACAGTCTTTCCTCACCGCCGTGCCGCAGTTTGGATGGATGGGAAGGAACGAGTTGCAAGAGAGATGGGGCAACTGTAAAATGCATCAGAGTCATGTCACCTTTTGCCTCTTCTTCAATTTTAAAATTGTACTTCCATAACTTCCGGCTTCCAGGCTACATCGTACCAGATGGTGCAAAAGAATTCCAAGATAGTACTATTAACATAGCTATTTTATTAAAATAGTACTCAGTAGCTCTTTGATGACACGAGGTGTCACAAGCAAGTTTCGGCCGTTGCGGGAGTTGCAGTTTGTGATGAAGTACAATGTCGCCCCGCGTCGATTGTGATTTTGAGTCGAGTGAGTCGAGTCAAGTGAGTCGAGTCTTTCTTTCGCACGTGAATAAAAGATCCAGGCAGTGACCTTGCAAAAAGATGAAGCGACCTCACCTTTGGCGGCGTTCGAAGATCTACCAAGTTTCCACAACCACAACAACGGCGGCTTTTGCTGGGTATACCGTTGGTAGAAGACAGGTCATAGAACTCGACATAGTACTAGTACTCATTCCATCTGTCTCCTGAAGAAGTATCTATTACTACAAAATGAGGAGGAGATTGAATGCTGGTAGCTTGCTTCTTGGCCTGGCATCCCTGTTGTCCGTGGGCATCGGGCAGGAGGAAGAGACAGCGGCACCTGTGGATGCTTCCTTGTTCAAGAAGGATTTTGATAATTGTGGTAGGGCGTTGTTCTATACCTCCCTCGACCCAACGACGGCGACCAAAGCGGACTTTGCTCTAATCGTGAAGAGCCAGCACCGCAACGTGCTTAATGAGGAAGGTGTCTACCAAGCCTTGATCGAGTTAGATCAGACCAAAGGAAACCCTGGTACTGTGGATACAATCTATTCGAACCAGTCCATGGTGGCAAGAGGCTATGGTAAAACGGATACGTGGACGCGAGAGCGCTTGTGGCCAATGACTCGTGGCGCTGTTGGTGGCTATGCCTCCACGGACATTCACAACAATCGTCCCGAGGAAACTCGTATCACGTCCATCAAGAGAGAAATGCTCTTTGGAAAGTGCGGGACTGTTGAGTTTGCGGATGTTTGTGTGAGACCGGCCTTTACACTGGGACCATCCAGTACCGAGCAAGATGGAAAAATCTGGTTGCCTCCAGCTGATAAACGAGGAGATATTGCCCGTGCTCTCTTCTACATGCAATTGAGATACGGAGACGAAGAACTCGACCTCCGCTTGACCGATTGTCCTCCCTTCAATGGCAAGATGGCCTATCTCTCCCAGTTGCTAGAATGGCATGCCGATGACCCAGTCGACGACAACGAATTCAATCGCAATACCAATGCCTGTCGCTATTGGCAAGGCAATCGCAATCCGTTTGTCGATTACCCAGACCTGGTAGCAAAGTTCTACGGGCAGCCTCAGGCCATTGAGCCCAACACAAGGACCTACCAGTCTTGTCTCAACGTCCCCACGCAAGCTCCTACGGCAGAACAGAACGAGTGCAGTCTTCTCCAACCAGGGGATATCTTCCTTCTACGCATCGAGGCCGATGATACCAGATGAGTTGGATCATGGCACTGGCGAATATCCCAGGAGGACTGGAACTCTACATGACGGATAATCCTTGGACAGGAATATCATTTGCATCCGTTGAAGGAGTTATCAAGGTACGGCTTGGCTTGTCAAACTAATATGGCGAACAAACTTAGTTCCTCCCGCTGGCTCACACACACGCAATCTCTTCTTTACTACTTGCTCGTCAATGATACAATCTTTCAATTTAAAAAGTTGACGGTTCCTAGTGGCGGGTACAAGGCCGGAGAAACGTTTGGTTTTGGACCTGATTTGGGCAAGGATCAAAAGTGGGTCCGCGAAGAGGGCGAGTTCAACATTGGCACCATGGGCGACTCGATCTTTTTGTACTGCCATCTCGGTGACAGCTCGATTCGACCCCTCGTGGGCTATACCAACTCGAATGAATGGGCTAAACCTGGTTTGGATCTGGAGGACTACGGATCCACACTGAGTGCCCTTCCCGATGAACTCAAGGATGTTGGCTCGATTGCGTTGCCTCATTTGGACAATTACAAATACGAAGGTCCCGACGTGGCAGAAAAGAAGGACCTTCAAAAGTACATGATGGACCCAACCAACTGGAGGGGAAATGATGATGGACTGGGCGACCAAGGAGGTTCACAGATGGCGGCAACTCACTGGTCTGCCATGTTGGTGTCGTTATTTGTGGCAGTGGCCGGCTACACTCTTCTATAAGAAAGGAGGAAGTAGACTGGCTGACAATGAAAACAAGCAAACCGTTTGCAGCAGGCACAGAATTTTGCTTCCTAGTAGGTAGGGTTGATAAATGCTTTATGAATATTACATTATGAGTTAGTCTACCAATCTTTGTACTTGGCATGGCTGCGTCCACATCTTGCTCCCATCCTCCTTTAGAACGGGGAGCGAGAAAGCAGGTTATGGTCATATGTACTGAAATTTTTATATGACACCGTTGGACCCAATTTCTCCTAAGTAATTCAACCGATAGTACAATCGGCACAGTGATTTGAAATTTTGGAGAGTACAAGACTTGTTCACCCGTTAAGTCTGCAGCATTGGTGCGTCGTATCTTTTCGGAGGGAAAACTTGGCGCTTCATCTCACAAAATAAGATCCGTACCTCTATCGATCGTCGTCGAGTCATTGAAAGTCGTCAAGTTTAAAGAACAACTACATTTACTATGAGGTTCAATACTAGTGCAGGTTTTTCAAAGTTTCTTTTAACTGTACCGCATTACCCTTTCAATGAGCTGAAGGCTACCCGAAACAGCATCTCTCTTAAGTATGTATTCTTGGAGGAGAGTCACCAGGAGCGAACTGGACATTTGCCTGTGTATTGTGTACCAATCACCTGCTTTGAGGCACCCATCCTTGAGGAGCTCATCATTAGTGGAAGGGCCAAAGTTGTCACTCCCAAAATGAATGGAATCATTGAGGCCATGCAGTTTTGGGGAATTGAGAAGAGTGTTGACTGGTACCAGAATGTCATAGGCACCTGTAATGACATTGTGAGCTATCCTCTTGCTGTGGAGGAGAAGAACATGTACAAAGAGTGTATCTGGTGGCTGGTGAAAGAGATGTGTGTCAATGCATTCGGCAGGAGCTCCAGCTATGAGAAGCAGATCTGTGAAGCTTGGAATGACATGTTTGACAGGACATACAATGATGGTACCTCCTGGACCTTCAAGCAGCTTGCTTGTTTATCTGATGAGTATGTGGAAGGTGCATCAACCACATCCACATCAATGGAGTCCTTGAAACTCACGAGGAGCCTTGGATGTTTGAAGATGGACCTGAGCCGGTTCTAGTGCTGGAAATTGAAAGAGGAAAAAGAATTTGTTGGTCTTTTGTTATCCAAGTAGTCACCCAGTAACACTAGTAAACTCACCTTTTTATCAAACCACTTCTCCACAAACTTCTGTTGCCATGGATGGGTGGGAAGATTGCATGCTGCCCAAATAGGAAACACATCAACTGTGGCATGGTGCTTCTTGGTTTGGCGGCACTTGCCACAATAGTCTCTTCTGCATGTCTTGGCAACTCCCTCATCAGCGGCGACATGGTTGCTTCTTTTGAATCCACACAGCTCACAAAACATTCTGCTCCTGAAAACATACCTTACAGGAAGTGGCATTGGATTCGCCGGTTGTTGTGGAGGAGGCGAAACCAACATGGCATTGTTGGAAGTACCACCAGGCCGGATTGCTCCCACTGTAATTGTGCTGTTCAGAGTGGTTGGATTCCCAAATGGAGTAGGACCACCATGCCGAACATACTCAGGAGGAGTGACTCTTTCAGGAGAAGGTGGTGCAGTGACAAGCCGTCGGTTGGCTTGCATGGTACGGTTCAATCGTTCCCGATCAGGATCGTTTGCCAGAGAGCTGTTGCTTGCAAACTTTCCAGCTCTCGTCGCTTCTTGTAGTAGTCAAGCAGCATTGTACGGCTCTTTCTGTTGATCAGTACTATCCTGTCATCACCTTTGCTCCAGTCGGTAAATCGTCGAGCCACCTCATTATTCCAATCTCGTTCGAAACAGGTGTAGGTGTTCGATCCTGTCTTGGCATCAGGGCTATAGTGCAGGTGTCGCTGGTCAAACCAAAGGGCCTCTTCTTTGTCAGTTGCTGTAGCCCCAGTACTGGAATCAGGCAATCGAAACGGTAGCCATGCATGTTTCTTGGTCAATCGCTGGAAGTGCACTACGCTAAAAGCTAGTGTAAAGATCTTTCGAGTGTTTTGAGTTTGAGAGAATGAAAGTTATGAGAGGATTGGAAGCTATGAAAACTAATCACGGAGAGATCCACAACCAAAGGATCGTAGATCTGAACTCCCGCGGGAGACTGTAGAGTGTGATAGAGTAGGTTTGCGGTAGCAATCTACTCACTCCACGATCCAAAAACGGAAAGCGTGGAAGATTCGTCTAGCATTTCTCTAGTAGCGTGAAGTACTCCACGCTGGCTAATATCTAGAGCGTGTTTCATCATCAACCTAGTAGTACTAGAGCGGTCATTGAGAACCCTGTCTCCATGACTATTCACGAGAGACTCAGTCATGAGTCGAACTCAAACCCTATCTAGGATCGAGTCGCGAATAAGGCTAAGAGCCCGTGTATTGCATTCGCCCCTGACAAGGGTCACGGAAGGCACGACATCAGTCGGACAGAGAACATATGAATTAAAGTGCGGGCACTCTCGCGGAGATTGGATGTAGACATGTGCGTCGCACGATGGCAACCTACAAGGGGATCAGGTCTTGTATGGGTGTAAATACCTTATGTTCAAGTCTGGTAGACTGTGACCGCTACTGGCGGTAGATTGTCGGAGCCGTACAGTGCCATTGTTTATTGACTCGTCTGTGTGTAAGGACCTTTGTGCGTGGGCTGACCGTACGAACGGTTCTGATACTGTTGAATCATCAATATCGTTGACATGGTGTTGATGAGGGACACGTGCCGTGTTCTCCTTATCGTGTT